GAGTGAACAAGTTAAGAAAGAGACGAGAAAATATTTTTCTCAGCCAAAGACCTTCAACCTCTTTTCTAATCATGATTAAGATGTTGACAGTCAAATTTCTCTCCAACGACCTTTCTTATAAAGCCCACATTACAACTGTTCATTCTAATTTGATTTCTTTAGGCTTAAAAACTCAAAGATCTAACTTTACAGAAAATTATAAAGTTGGGAGAAGTTTGGAATGGAGTATAGTTTGTTTTTCAAGTGCCAAATGAACATTTTGAAGCGTAGCACTTTTGGCCAAGGACTTTGTCCACTGACACCAGAACATTCCAGGAAATGACATGTCAAATAAACAGTTTCAAGTCTAGTAAACCACAACACACACACACACACACACACACACACACACACACACACACACACTATTCAACAGCACTTCATGGCAAAGAGCCTTCTGTTGCCAGTTACTTAGGGATGAATGATTATATTTACAAAGCACAAATATCTCATTAGATTAATTGAATATAATTTAAGTTGATGGCTCAGCAAGAGAGTGAATCTATGAGTTGTGAAAGAGGATGAAGGAGAAGATACCAGTAGAATAAATCTTGGAAAAGGATCTCCAAATATCTGGAAGCCCCGTGGTCCATCACTTCAAATTAGCCAGGCATGAGGGCCTGTGACACGCATGCTGCCTGAGCCTCCTCCAAAGAAGAGTAGCCAAGACAAGTCTCATTTTTCTTGGAAAAAGATTTCCACATAGCTTTCATATCTTACCAATTAAACAGTTTGGGCTCAATGTAATTAAGTAATAAATGTAACTGCGGGCCCATTTCTCAAGCCCCTGTTTCTTTTTTGTGTGTGTTCAAGTGTTTGCGTGGGGCTGAACTCAGTTCTCACACTCTCATCCAGCTTTCTTTAAGCAGAGTTGCTGAACTGCCACTTGTGTCCCACCTCCAACCCTGCCTTTTGTGTTGATTAATTGAAGACAGAATCTTGAAGACTTTTCTGCCAGGGCTGACTTTGAACTGTAATCCTGGAGGTTGCAGTCAGTCCTGAGTAGCTAGGATTACAGGTGTAAGTCACTGGCATTAGGCTCAAGCTTTTTTTCTTTCTGTTCTCTCTCTCTCTCTCTCTCTCTCTCTCTCTCTCTTTCCTTCTCTTTGTTAGGGTAGCTAGTAGGCTGGGGATAGATCCTCATACTAATTATGTGTTTCCCGTCAGCCCCAAGGGGCAATCACTGATTTTCATCAATGCTCACAAAATACATGGAAATCTAGAAATCCAAAATCAATTTTAAAATTCAAGACTGAGACTCAGTAGGTGCACTCACAGAAAGTGAAGTGCAGAGTAGATCCTGGTACAATCAACAGAAACAGAACATAGAGGCAGAACATAGAGATAACAAGAGGAACTGAAGACTCAAGAAAATTTAGTATGCAAATGGGAAAAACTGAAGAGTCCTCTGGGTTTCCATCATGCAATAAGTAATAAAGAGAAAGACTATTTTAGGAAGTCAGCCTGAGATTCTTGTTATATAACTCACATGTTAACTTAGGAGGTAAAGTGTTCAACTAATGGGGAAGGTGGCAAAAATCTTCTTATATAAAATAGAATTGTTCCAGAATCATTCTCACTGAAATTTAAGTTACCATTTATTGAGAACTTGTTTGGTCAGGTTATATTCTAACCATATGGTGTAAATAGTTGGTTTAATTTTCAAAGCAATCCAATGAGACAGAAACTACCACGGTCCTCATTTCATAGGTGAAAAATCAGGCTCTAAAAGTAATTTGCCCAAGCCGGGCGTCAGTGGCTCACGCCTGTAATCTTAGCTATTCAGGAGGCTGAGATCTGAGGATCGCCATCCAAAGCCAGCCTGGGCAGGAAAGTCCATGAGACTCTTATCTTCAATAATCCACCAGAAAACAGGAAGTGGTTCTGTGGCTCAAGTGGTAGAGCCCTAGCCTTGAGGTGAAGAGCTGAGGGGCAGCGCCCAGGCCCAGAGTTCAAGCCTCACAACCGACAAAAACAAAAAAAAGTAATTTGCCTAAAGCCAAAGCCATACAACTAAAAAGTTTCAGAGCTGAAAGGTGAACCTAAAATCCTGTGTTTTTGTTTTGCTTTGTTTTATTTTATGTTTGTTTCAGTCCTGGGGCTTGAACTCAGAGCCTGAGAACTGTCACTGAGCTTTACCACCAAGGCATCCTTTCTACCACTTAAATCACAGCTGCACTTCTAGTTTTTCCATGATTAACTGGAGATAAGAGTCTCATGGACTGCCGGGCGCTGGTGGCTCACGCCTATAATCCTAGCTACTCAGGAGGCTGAGATCTGAGAATCGTGGTTCAAAGCCAGCCAGGGCAAGAGAGACCGTGAGACTCCTATCACCAATAAACCACCAGAAAACCGGAAGTGGCGCTGTAGCTCAAGTGGTAGCACGCTCGCCTTGAGCTGAAGAGCTGAGGGACAGTGCCCAGGCCCAGAGTTCAAGCCCCACGACCGACCAAAAAAAAAAAAAGAGTCTCATCGGATTTCCTGCCCAGGCTGTCTTTGAACCATGATCCTCAGATCTCAGCCTTCTGAGTAGCTAGGATTACTGATGTGAGCCACTGGTTCCTGGCAGCTTTGTTTTAAAGTCTAACTGAGACTAACCATGCTGCAAATAATGCTTAATCACAAGAGATGCAACTCTTTATTTCAGAGTTCTAATGATATGTGTACATAGGTTTTCAGAGATTTTTCAGAGATTTATGATTTGGATTGAAAGGACTGGTCACCAGCTATCAAAATGAGCTGAACTCCATGCGCTCGCAGAGCTGGAGACAAGGCACTCAGTTCACCTTTGCCTGGTGCCTGACATTTATCCATGCCATGGCGCTGAACCCAATTAACAGTGATTTAGGGACTAATGCTGAGTGTCAGAGTATGGCGATTCAAAGCCTTGGATAAGATACAATTTTTTTCAACCCAGTGCAAAAAATACTCTGAAAACTTACAGTTGAATAGAAATGAAGAAAATGAAGTCTAAATAGTTCAATGACTTGCCTAAGGCAAGAATCCAACTTAAATCGGTGTAGTTTCTCTTTTTATTCTACCTCTCCACTTCTAATCAAGCTGGTTGCACACAATAAAGTGAATAATTTTCCAGACAAAATATCTGTGCTCCATAAAGAGGAAATGTTTGTCTTCTGCCTTCTTTATTCTAAAACCTGCTTTGTTCTGGAAGGACTCAAGGGAAAAAGAGAAGAGATCACAAGGGAACATATTTTTTAGGGAAGGGGAGGAATAAGGAATGTTGCTTTTGGCTTTGATTTTCTGGACAGTTCCACTCTTTAACCTTACATAGTGCTTAAAGACATCAAATCTACGTCCATGTGGATACCTATGCATGTAGGTAGGTGTACGTCTCCAACTCCAATCTGAGAGTTTATATTTTGTTTTTAAGAAAGGGGTTTACTAACTTTGTCCAGGCCAGCTTCGAACTCAAAATCCTTCTGCTTCTAGGTCCTGAGTAGCTGTAGTTACAGATGTGTACCATCTGACACCACTAAGACCCTTAGAACAGATGACTTTTACAAATCATTTGATAAAAAGCATAGTAGATGCTCAGTGAATTTTTTATGTTATGTATGATAATGATGAAAATGCAAGTATGGACAATGTGATTTGGGATTTGTTTGTTTTCCTTGAAAATTTGAGCTTGTATTCAGGCAACCTTGCATTTTATTTATTTAGTTTTTTACTAATTTGGTTTAGTGTTTCTGAAACTGGGGTATTTGCCCTCCAACCTCCTCTAGACATCTGGCAAAGTCTAGAGGCATTTTAGTTATCAAAACTTAAGGGGCAAGGCAGGTGCCACCAGAACCTAGGGTAAAGGCCAGGGATGCGGCGAAATATTCTACTCTGCAGACCCCAAGACAGAGGATTATCTGATCCAAAATGTGAACAGGAACAAGGCTGAGAAACATTGGCCTAGTAAGAAGGTCAAAGGTATACAAGCACCTTTCCATTTGTCCATTTAAAACCCCAAGTAAGCTATAAATGCCAACAGTACACCAAAGACTTGCCCTAAACAAGACCCTATCAGCAAGCTACTGTCAATAGACCCACACACAGAGGAACAGAAGTAAACATGGTGGGAAAAGCATGAATTTAAACACTTGTGTATGTAAATACAAAATGGCTGATGCCACATCTCAGCCTCTGTTGTGGAAGAGGCTACTCTGCTGACAAGGTACTTCTAAACCACGCTGGTCTGACTCAGACATGGAACTGGCAATTTAGACTATTTCACCATGTCTAACCACACACAAAATCCACCTTTTCAACCAGCACACAAAGAGGAAATGTGCATATGTTTATAAGTGTGGCCTATTTTCATTATTAGCCACTCCTTTTAACGCCTGTCTATCTTACCCACACATAAGTTTAGTGGAAGTTGCATTTTTTTTCAGCTTGCATTTCAGGGCTCCAGGAGTCATCCTTTGACTCCTAAATTGCTCTCTGGTTGCTGTCATGGGATGATGGCTGCCTGTTTCCATTGTCCTGACAGCTTGATAATGTCTTAAGAAGAATAAGGAAAGGAAATTGGGGAACTGCTGATTTTTTCTTTTTGCTCTTGGTCGTGATTTCCTACATGGTTGCTAGCTGATGTCATCACATTGCTTTGGTTTTATTTGCTGGTTCATTTTTCCCAGTGGATAATAATACTATTGAATACTATTGTAGCAAACTTAAATACAATTTTCTTTCTTTAAGGCAATAAGTTTGTTCTTTTGGGGGAACCAACTCACTATATATCTATAATATCTATATATCTATATCTCTATAAAATGCACACTAAATAACATAAAACTCACAATATATATAATATAATATACACCATACACACACATATCTCAGGAGGAGCTCTGAACACCTCACAGAAACTAATTTGCCATGGATTTTGTCTATTGAGCTAAACATGCCACTACTGAGATCCTCATACTTTGGTTAATGATTTTCTAAATATTTACCCAGGTCTTTAATAAGCGAGAGTGCTTCCCATGATATGAAGGATCCACCACCATCATCCAAGGCGCCCTGCCCAACATCCCAGCTGTCCAGATGTCCACTGACCAGCACAATCTGCAATAAATATAAACAGAAAAAAACTAAGCAACAGTGACATCAAAGAAGGTCCATCCACAGGAACTTTAAACACAAAAATGAAACTCTTTCTCTCTTTGTGTGTGTGTGTGTGTGTGCGTGTGTGTGTGTGTGTGTGTGTGTGTGTGTGTGTGTGTGTGTGTGTATGTGTGCCAGTACTGGAGCCTGAACTCAGAGCCTGGACATTATCTCTTAGCTGTTTTTCCCCATTCAAGGCTGGCATACTACCATGTGAGCCACAGCTTCATTTCTGTGTTGGGTTCAAACCATGATCCTCAGATCTGAGTGGCTAGGATTACAGATGTGAGCCACTTGTGCCCAGTCTGAATTTTCTATTTTTATTCCTTCGAAGCTAAGTGTCATTACTGGTGAAACACTTGGTGTAGTGACATTTCATGAAGAGTCAAAGGTCTTTCTAGTTAGCAATGAAAGTCCTCTCCTTTACTTCCCTTTATTAATCCAATTTTGAGTATTAAATTGATAGCTCTATGTGTCACCTAAAACCACAATGATATAAAAATGGAGCTGAAAGCTTTTCATCATACCCTCAACTGTTTCTAGTTCCAGGGCAAGCAAAAGCAGTATGTAGCCAATTGAACTCAAAGCTTGGTGCTGGTAGCTCATACCTATAATCCTAGCTAGTCAGAAGGTTGAGTTGTGAGGATGGAGAGTCAAAGTCATCCAGGCAGACAATTCCGTCTGACTCTTGTCTCCAAATAACTAGCAAAAAAAGTACAAGCGAACGTGTGGCTCAGGTGATAGAGTACTAGGCTTGAGCACACAAAGTTATGCAAGAGGAAGAAGAAGAAGAAGAAGAGGAGAGGAAGAGAAAGGAGGAAAAGGAGGAGGAAGAGAAGAAGAAGAATTAGGCTTGTTAAAAGTTGGTAATATCGCTGGACACTGGGGCTCATGCCTGTAATCCTAGCTACTCAGGAGGCTGAGATCTGAGGATCAAAGTTCAAAGCCAGCCTGGGCAGAAAAGTCCATGAGACTCTTATCTCCAATAAACCACTAGAAAACCGGAAGTGCCGCTGTGGCTAAAGTAGTAGAGCACTCGCCTTGAGCTGAAGAGCTGAGGGACAGCGCCCAAGCCCAGAGTTCAAGCCCCACAACCAAAAATAAATAAATAAATAAATATAAATAAATAAATAAATAAAAATTGGTAATATCTGCTTCTCAAAAGACCTTATTAAGAGAGTTTTTAAAAGTTATCCACATGGAGAGAAAAATCCTTACCATCTCATATCTAATTGTATAAAGAATTCCTATGGAACAATAGCACAACTAGAAAACTGATAGAAAAATGGGCAAACAATAGGTAATTCACACCAAAAGACATGCAAATTACTAACAGTCCTTCAAAAGGGCAGTCTGCTAAACTAAACTCCATGCAGGGCAGGGAGCATGGAGCTTAGAATGAAGGGAATTAAACTCCATGCAGGGCACAGATGCCAAATGGCTAACATGAAAGACAAAAGATGTCAAATACTGGTGAGAAGCAGTAGCAAGTCAAACTTTTACCCCACTGGTTTGAATGCCAGAACATCCCATTGCTCTGGAAAACCATCGTTATTTATAAATGTTACCATATACATGCCTGTGACCCAGCAATCCTCCTGCAAGCAATATGGCATATCTGCAGGAACAGGTGTGAATGTGTATGTGTGTGTGTGTGTGTGTGTGTGTGTCTGTGTACTTTAACCAAAGGAAATGTACTAGAATGTTTGTAACTGTATATTTATAATAGCCCCACCCTTCCCCAAAAGGAAACTTGTATCAACTGTAAAACAGAAGAAAGAATATACTATATTCATGGATGAAAGCCCCCTCTGTAGTAAGAATGAACAAAAAATGCACAATAAGTTCAATTAAATCTCATAGACACAATGAAGACAGAAAGAAGCCAGGTACATAATAACATATGGTGTACGATTCCATTTACATAAGATATAAAACCAGCAAAGTCCCATTGGGTTGGAGGAAAAGTGACCAGCAGGCAGTGGGTAGGAAGATAGCTCCCGTCTGTCACTCTGTTGTCCCATGGTGGGTGCTAATCAGACAGGTGAGCTTGGCTTGCAAAAGTTCATTTTAATGCACACTCAACCTCTGTAACCTTTCTCTGAGACGATCACACTTTGACAGACAGTTCAACAACAGATAGATGGTCTACTTATACCATGTAAGCAGCCCAAAGTCAAACCAATCTTCTTGGTGGTAAAAGATACAAATTCCCTATTGGGAGAGCAGAGCTTGTGGCCTGAAGTATCAGGGTGACCCTGGGCCCTGCCCTGGTTCCCAGAGCAGCTGCAGGATCTCTTGTTGACTTATATGCAGACCCAGCCTAGTATGACTTCACCATAGTCACAAACAAGGATGATGACCCAGACTAACAAACGGCCATGTAATGAACCCAAATGGATTGTTTCTATGGGGGAGGAAATAAACAAAACAAAGAACAAAGCGGGAGAAGCCCATGTCGCAATCGCAGGATCTTCTGTTTGAGAATGTGGTGAAGTCCCCTGTGAGACCCAGCACCATTAGTCAGCATCCTATCACCTCAGAACCACTTTCCCAAGAAGGCCAAGTGGACTGAAGTGTCAAAAAATGTGCTTTTTCTCAGATGACACACAGCACAGAAGTAACTAAGCCAAGACAGCTATTATTTTATCCTCCAGCCTTCACTCATGATCTTGGAGTTTATTTTATAATCATAATTCTCTAGGTTTTTCTTAAATACATCCATTCTCCAGATTGGAATTATATTATTACATACTTTAGTAGTGAAAGATGAAATGGGAAGATAGCTTGATAAGCAATTACATAATATTCCAAAGGCTAAGGGCTTTGGAAAGCAATATAAATTAATACTTGCATATCACTTAGATTTGTGGGCTTTCAAATAGCATTCTTTAAATTGGAAAAAAAATTGGGGGTTACAAGCCAATACTTGTAATTTCTATATCTATTATTTTACATTAAGTTCTATCTGGTGAGAAAAAAGGTTAACTAATTCAACAGTGATACTACATGCTATGTTGAAAATTAATTTCTCAACTTGGTGGGGAGGGGGTTGGGAGAGAAAAAATTGGGAGAAAATGAGGGAAGAGGTGACACTGTTCAAAAAGAAATGTACTTAATATCTAACTTACACAACAGTAACCCCTCTGTACATCATCTTTACAATAAAAAATTAATTTAAAAAAGTATTATCAAAAAAGGACTTGTAATTTAATAGCATTAAGAAGGAACTTGAATTTCTATAAACTTTTCTCCAGTGTATCCATATATCCCAATATAGAAAAAACTGAGAGAAAAATCTTCCATATATACTTAGAAAAAAAAGAGGAGTACAAATTTCATTCAAAATATCATCTCCATCTTTTCCTCCCCTCCTTTTCCCTCCCATCCCCCACTCCTCTCTTTTCTTCTCCTCTCCCCTCCTTCTTTCTCCCCTCCTCTCCCCTTCTCTGCTCTCCTTCCCTCTCCCCTCTTCCCTCTCCTCCATACCCCTCCCTTTCTTTCGCTCTCCTCCCCTCATCTAGTCTCCCCTCTCCTCTCCTTCCCTTCCCTCTCCTTTCCTCTCCTCTCCTCTCCTCTCCCTTCTTCCTCTTCTCCTTCTTCTTCCTCTTCTCTTTTTTCTTGCTCTTCCTCTTCCTCCTCTTCCTCCTCCACCACCTCCTCCTCCTCCTCCCTCCTCCTCCTCCTCCTCCTCCTCCTCCTCCTCTTCTTCTTCTTCTTCTTCCTCTCTGTCTCTGTCTCTCTGTCTCTCTATCTCTGTCTCTCTGTCTCTGTCTCTGTGCCTATACTGGGGCTTGAACTCAGAGTGTGCCTCTGGCATTCATTGCTACCAATAGCACTCCACCATTTGAGCCATGCCTCTAGGTCTGGCTTTTTGCTGGTTAAATGGAGATATAAGTCAGATTTGTCTGCCCCAGCTAACTTCAAACTGATACTCTCAGATCTCAGTCTCCTAAGTAGCTGAGATTATAGGCATGTTCCTCGTTCCTCTGACACCTACCTCCTTATGCTATTTTCATGCAGGCAGAAACTCCATTTTGATCACATTCGTCCTCACTCACTCTCTCTGTTAGACCTCCCCCTTAACAGAGCCTGTCTGTCTTTCTTGGCATTTTTTAAAGTGTGTATTAATTGTACCAAGGAGTTTCACTGTGGTATTTCAGAGGCGCATATATGATATTTTGATCAGAGCTTACCCCCTCTAATTGCTATTTAAGTTAGAATCTTTTGGGTTATCCAGCCTTTTCTCACTGTTAGGGTGGGCACAGCATCATCCTATAGCAGCCTACATTTTAAGAAGACACTGATTGATTTTATTTTTTTTTATCTTAGATGACTCAGTGAATTGGCCTGCTTTCCGTTCTCCACTCTTTCTCCCCACTAGCAATTGTTTGTGCACTTAAGCTGAATCCTCGGATTCCTTCCCAGCGTCTCACCACAGTTTGAATGTTTCCTGCTCAGGCCCCCTGTTACTCCTGGCTCTGCAGCTTCCAGCATTGCTCTAGCATGCTCCACCCTGCCTGGCTCTGCTCCTCTCATGCCAGTCCACTGGCCAGCCTTCAGACATGTTGCCTTGTGGCCACTCGCAGCTCTCACTTGGATTTCCATGTGTCTTCTAATGCTCACTTTCTGTTTGTGTGCAGGTCTTTATTCAAATATCATTTCCATAGGGAGAAACCTTCCTGACATTTTAACCTAAAGTAGCTTTATTCTCTCCACTCTCTGTTGTTATTCCTCTGTAATCTTTCTTTGCCTTGCTTTTAACTCTTCCTCCTCCTCCTCCTCCTTTTCCTTTTCCTCTTCCCTCTCCCCCTCCCCCTCCCCCTCCTCCTCCTCCTCCTCCTCCATTATTCTTCTGATATAGGATATAACGCAGGCCAACCTCAAACTCACTCTCTATCGCCTAGGTTAACATCAGATTTATGATCTTCCTGCCTCAGCCTTCTTCCTGAGTGCTGGAA